ATTCTTCGACGCTTTCCATACCCCATTATTATCATATAGGCCGGCAATTGTATTTTTCTTTTTTCTCTGACTTGCTTTATGGTGAAAATATTTTGTGTTTTTATCGCCATCACGCAACTCATTAGCCCTTGATCGTGCATGCCAATATGATTCTTCAAGCCTTCGGAGTTCACTAAGCTCTTGAGCAATTTCGATACACAAACTCAAACGACGAGCGTCCAACTGCTGCCCCTGCGCCTCTTGAAGCCTGGATTCTGCCTTTTTATTTTCTTTTTAATCTCCCCGAATGTAGTGGCTGCCCATGATGACAAACCCTCCGCCACCCTAGCTATTCCGTAAAGTCGTGATCATACATATATATTGAACATATTTCATGCTACTAATCCATGGTCATAAGTCTCATAACTCATTGATGCAAGAATTTTATCCATTGGCGAAATCTAAAAATAGTCCAACATATTAAATCGATATTTCGATATCGTACATTTTATAATGACATACTCCGTAATACACAATAGTCTTGTACACAGTAATACGAAGTAGTTTTCAACTAATGCTGTAAGTGTGTAACAGAGCTTTAAATCAACTTATAAATTATTCTTAATAGTCAAATTTCACATTTATTTAGTCTTTCACTTTTTCTCAATTTAAGCCTTCTTTCGTTGTCCTCTTTAATCTTTATAAGCCCTACCATGAGGATCGTACTCCTCAAATTACATGCACCATACAATATTTTTAGATCAAATTCTATTCAACGAATAATTACGTACATTTATAGAAATTTGTATCCCAATCTTTCGGCCTTTATTTCCTTTTAATATGCTCTTAACATGACACATTGAAATGCATCTATACACTTGGTTTCAAGGAAAATGTTATACATGTTCCTTTTGGCTACATATAAGCATTAAAAACACTTTTAAAAATCGTTTGATTTAGAAAATTATGACAAAAACACGTGTTGATCAATGTGTTTTTGTCATAAATTCCTAATTTTATACAATTTTCTAGAGTGTTTTTAATGCTTATAAATAGCCCTTAGGTTTATGTATATCATTACCCATAAATTAAATGCAACATTATTCTTTGTCAATTACTCCGTAGTAATCTTATCAATATAATGCTACTATTTAATAAAGTACTTATGATGTAGCATACTACTACGTAGCTAACATCACTGCTTGTCAAATTTTCCTATGCAATTACTACATCGTCTTAATATACATGCATAACTTCAAAAGACATTTATTCTGAATTAATTATCATAAATTCATTTTGCCTTTTAATAAAAATGCTTAAAAAGATTAATAAACCTACAAATGTAGGTGTTTTATAAAAAAAAACCAAACCAAGAGTTAAAGCTCAGAATACAAGGTAGTGGATGAGAATCGATCCCAAAATCTCTTGGAATGAGAAGGGGAGCTCTAATCACTTAAGCTTTCCCCTCAATCACTCTCAAGAATGTGTATATATAATTATATATATATTAATCATCAACAACAAAGTCTTACTCAAGTAGGAAAGGCTAAGAGCTTGTACACAATATACACATTATAGACCGGTCTTTTAATTGATTTGTAATAATAATTAAAATAATAATAATAATTATTATAATAATAATAATAATATTAATATTTATTATTATTATTATTTTCTATTATTATTATTATTATTATTTACAATAATAATAATAATTAATTTTTTCCTCAAAAAAATAAAAATAAATAATTGATTATTCCATATACACCTAATCCTATTTTATTTTCTTGTGTGCATTAAAAACGCTATTATTGCAATGTCTAATCTTAATGAATGATGATATAGCTGAAGTGTGACTTAGAGTGAAAAGGGGAGAAAATAGAGTAGTATTGTTACGGTCATTATAATTACCCGTCCTAATTCTCCATCTGCCAAATCATTGTTAGAGATAATTGCTAGCTAGCTAAAACTGTGGCTTTGATGATGATCGATGATACTTGTATAACCTCTTAAAAAAAGAGAGAGAGAAAAAAAATATAGGGAAGTGAGATCTTACATACATGCATCTAAATTAATGTTTCAGCCTCCTCACTCTATTCTCTCTCCTAAACTTTAGCCTCCATTGTTAACTTTGAAGGGGCTTCCATCGGATTTCACCAGTGGAAAGCCCCAATCTTACTAATGTCTCCCTCGAAAGAAAGGGTTTATCTCCTTCGAAAGACAAGGTTTTTTCGATCTCCTTCTAAAGACAAGGTTTTTCGAACTCCTTCGAAAGACAAGGAAGACAAGGTTGTTTTATTTGTGATTAATAGGGTCTCTAATTGTGCGGGGCTTCAATTGATTACGGCTTGGTTTCGGGTTACGAATTCAACACAAGAATTTTCTTCCTTGCAAAATTATGAAGCGGCGACGGATCCATTCAAAAAGTTGTATGAGACAACAAATCGAGAAAGTGCCGAAGTGTTATATCTATGTATTTGGATTCTTAGCTATTCCCCGATTAATTCTTGTTTGATTTTGTTGAATCTGTCTTCATTATTATTAATTGTCAATTGTAGATGCCGTATCGCTTTATTTAATGAAATTTAATGTCCTTTGGGACTTCTTTCCAAAAAAAAAAAAAAATTAATGTTTCATTTTTATGTCATAAAAATTATTTTATGTCTCATCATTCATATTTTTTTTTTATAACAACTTGTTGGTTCTTTATAATTATAAGAATAATTAAAAATGAATTCAAGTATAATTTGATAACCAGAGTACCATCTTAATAATGTGATGATATTCATAGTAATGCAATCTCATCTCAAATTTAGAATATTATGAAACGAAGGTGTTACTAATTTCTTATATCCAATCACCCGTACCATATAGTTCGTAAGGACTAGGGAGACTTGATTCCTTGAGTACATCAGAACCAAGGTATGCTTCTTATCTACTTAGACTATAAAGGCGGAGAGAGATTATTAATTAAGGGTTTTTATATCTATGATGACCTCATTTTCTCTATATATGTTATGCACATAGTGACCCCGACCCAACTCGATTTTTCAACATCTATTTATTTTTATGTATTGATTCTGATCAATCCGAAAAGATTTGAAAGACAACTCTTATGTCCGTTTAGTTTATTTTGTTTTGATTAATATATTTCTAAAAAAAAAAGTAAAATTTACCAATACGCCTAAATACATATAAATTTCTAGCAGATCACTACTCTGCCCTATGATATTTCGTTTTTAAGATGAGAATCGAACCCTGGTCTGATCTCCAAAACGAAAGATGATGAGAGAGAGTCGTTATCAACTAGGGTACTACTCCGATCCTTTCAATAATTTTCGTTCAACCTATTTGAATTTTGTTTGCATTGTGAGACAAAAAATTAATATGATCTAAGACGAATGAAAAGGATCCAAGGGAGTTATACATGCTCCTAAATTCTAGATTCTTCATTTGTGGCTTCCAAAAAATAAGATTAGACATTTGTATAATAAAAAATACTGTTACAATCTTGAAGACAAAGAAACATAGAAAGCTAAGCCAACCCCTTAAAGTCAGGTAGGGTTGAAGGAAGGAAGGAAAGTCAACTCGTTATTATCAGTACAAAGTAGGAAGTGCACCTAATAACCTCCTCTTCTCATAAATTCCCTCTTATAAACACATGCACAATAACTTGCATTTCATCATAATATTAATTATGCATGAATATTCAACAGGTGTCACAGAGAAAAACAATAATATTTCATAAATTTTTTCTTTTATTTACGACACAAACTCATACTTTCTCTGTTTCTTTATAGTTGCTACACACATTTTATCACGGTATTTAAGAAAAGTTGACCTTACATGATATAATACATTTAAAATGGGGTTATGAGGTTATTGAGAACATAATCAAGTGGGCTATAAACTTTTTTTTTTTTAATAGAAGTGGGCTATAAACTTTATATGAAAGTAATAGTACAATTTTTACCATAATGAATTTTATTTTATAAAATGATTAGATAATGTAAACGGACAATTATTGATTCATAACAATAATAGTAGTACTTCGTATAATATGGATTAATAATTCTAATTTATATTGCGTGATAATAATAAATTTTAAACAGGTGTCACAAAAAAATAAAAATAAAAAAATAAATTCAGCAGCAGTCAGAAACTCAGAAATAATTAAATTAAACTTTTAATACGATCAGTGGTTGACTAAGTTTACATGTGTTGCGTGGTTGTAATCTCTTGTGAATATGAGCCTTCAATTAAATTCTTATCAGTTCTTTTTTCTTTTTCTTTTTCTTTTTTTTTTTGGCAATTTTGAAAGGCCTCATTATCAGTAAATCCTACCGACCTCATTCAATAAGGAATTAAGTGTGTGCAGAAAATTCAGGGGAAAACAACCTTGGTTAGTTTACCATATATTACGTACAGTGGGCGGATAGCTAACATTAGTAGGTCATTCTTTTTACTGTAACAAAAAGGAGTGTTATTCATCTAAGCAACACTTAAGTATCAACACTCGTACATTTTATTGCTTTATTACGTGACTTTATGTGGCCAGATCCGGCGTACGAGTGTATCAAACAACATGGCACAAAAGGTATGCCGATGGGGCATGGGATGTGCATGGACATCATTTTCAAGATTTGGCACGAGTCAATGGGCTGACACATTAATCTGTTGAAACCCATTGTAAATCCACATGTGAGTGTCCTATATTGGAGTAAAATAAAAGATGATTCCACTTTATTACTACCTCCGTTACATATTATTTGCAACGATTAGACATTTTTCCTCTCTACTTTATGTCAAATCGTTACAAATAATGTGTAACGGAGGTAGTATGTAGAAGAGTTACTCCTACTATCATCAATTGGTTTTAAAATGGAATTTTCTTTGGCCTTATTTGTGGACCGAACTTTGCTCCTCCTTGGATTGGGTTGAGATTTGTTCATGAAAGATCATGTAGTTTTAATCAATGTTTGAATCTATTTAATTTTGACTCAAGTTTAGGTTATTTAGGTTAATTTCAACATTTGCTTTAACTAACTATCTATAGTTGTCTTTTTGGAACGAATGTGCCTCAAAGCAAGGTCATTTTTTTGCCATATGTGTATACTCTACTAAACAAAGAGAAACATGTATGAATTGGAATCGCCTAGAAGCCAAGCTAGTTCTTGGATAGTTCCAATTGATACAAAATAGGTTTATCCAAAGATCTCGAGTTTGGATGAAGCCACCTTAACCAAAGGCCTCGAGTTCATATACCTCCACTTGCTACAAGAGCATCCTAATACACAAACCATGTCCCTATTCAAATTCAAATTAGTCAAGGTATGATAAGTCTGGATTACATCATAACCGAGTCAAGTTATCTTAGCCCCCCCAAAAAAAAAAAAAAAAAAAAAAAAGGATTCCATCCCAATGATTTACCTTGGGGAAATGATTAATCAATACTTTATATAAAGTAAACAAAATTTAAATATGGTTGGACTTTGCCATAATCACAAGAAGAATATTGCAGCATTTATGAAGATATCCCTCCCCATGCTCCCACCGGTCTCTACACACTACATTATAAAAGAACAACATCCATAGCTTTCAAATCACTCTCACAAGAAATCATACTATTCCCAACTTTTTCCATAAATGCTTTTCATACATTATTATTATTAACCCTTTTTTTCCACAACTTTCCCAAGTACACTACTACAATAAGTCTACTACTATTTATTTCCACCACCTTTCTCTCTTATATGATCAAATATATATAACACCAACATTACAACCTAATATCACACAACAAGTAGTCCCTCTTATCATTTTAACAATTTATCGTAAACAAGCATACACAGTCAAAATGGGAAAAACATTCGAAGAGATAAAACATACGACGGTCCAAGTAAATGGCATAAACATGCATTATGCTGAAAAGGGTGAAGGACCAATAGTACTATTACTTCATGGTTTTCCAGAGTTATGGTACTCTTGGAGACACCAGATTACTGCCCTAGCATCCAACGGTTACCATGCAATTGCTCCAGATCTAAGGGGTTTTGGTGACTCTGATATTCTACCTTGTAGTTCAAATTATACTTGCTTTCATTTAGTTGGGGATCTTATTGGGCTTCTTGATCTACTTGATGTGGATCAAGTCCTTCTTGTGGCCCATGATATGGGTGCTATGGTGGGCTGGTATCTTTGCATGTTTAGGCCCGATAGGATTAAGGCCTTTGTCTCTCTTTCGGTTCCGTTTCGGCCCAGGAACCCTAAGTTGAAGCCCATTCAAACTCTCAGAGCTTTTTTGGGTGATGATTACTATATGTGCAGATTTCAGGTTAATTCTCTCACCTTTTCTCTTTTATTACTACTTAGCTTCCTTCTAATTTGCTTGATTGTTGTTTTTAATCATGAAGTTTAAAGATAAGTAGTTTTACTTTAATTATTTTAACGACGTAGTTAACTTTACTAGCTAAGCTCACTGATGATATTTTGTTGTGTTTTCGACTTACCAGCTATTAAGTTTGTAACGAGACATAAGAAAACACAACTTTACCAGCTAAGATTGTAACAAGACATAAGAAGAAAAAAAAAAAAAAAAAAAAAAAAAAGACGACTTTACTAGCTAAGTTAGCAATCGACATACGTTTCTTTCCCGCCTTTTTAATTAAAAATATATATTTTAATGTCAACTAGTTTGTTTGATTAAGTGGTCCCATCAACTTAGTCTTTGTCAATTGATGTATTTCTAAAATAAGCTTTTATAAGAACTTTCTAAATGCGTTCACTTAATTGAATGAACCACACATTAGTGGTCACTAATATCATAAAGCCGAACTGTATTATCGAACAATAATAAAAAGATAAGGAAACCACAAAAAATTGTTCTCTTACTATCCCATATACTATTTGGATATCAGACGTCACGTTGGATTTTGCATTGATTGATACTTCAACCTCTTTATTTGAAAATTCGCGGTCCTCCTTCTATCCTAAATCATCTAGAAATATATTAAAATTTTTACGTAAAAATATCAATATTACTGCGTACGAATTATTTGTTTGTTTATAAATATACAAAGAGAGGTGGGGGAGCCAATTGCAAAATCATTTCGGGTGATGTCGCATATATATGATGCTAGTTCATGAATGTGATATTAATGAGAATAGGCAATTTGGTACAACTGGTCTAATCCGTGAAACTTGAACTGCGTTGCATGCATGGGCTCCATCTCTGCTACTTCAACCCCATTTAGAGTAAGATTATGTCATGCGTGCTAATGTGCTATCAATGTATGCCAACCAAGGCAGCTCAATAGCAATTGCAATGTCGGTTTTTATGAAATATTCGCTCCATCCCTTAATATTTGTCGTATATTCTAATTTATTCTTTTTTAAGAGTTGTATTGAGTTGGTAGATAGTTTTATCCTTTAACATGTGACGTAGGAAATAACGTAGAGAAATGATATAGGAATCATGCATGCAAATCAAGAAGAAAATTGGGACAATTGGAGTAGGAATATAATGATTCTTAAAGTGTTTCTCAAACTAATTCCTAAAAAATTTAAGGTGTGTCCAAAAATAAGTAATCTTGTATAGTCAATGACATGATGATTATATTTTCATAACAAAACAACAATGTTAATTTTAAAAGAGACTTTATTACTCCATATTATGTACTCCGTACTTATTTATCGAAAAAATGTTAGTTTCATATAAAAGAAATGGATAGAATACAAATTTTGATTTGAATTACTCCTGTTATTATAGCTGTCTTTGAATTGTAATTTTAAAGTTGACCAAATAAATAGGTTTGACCACTGGTTCAATTGTTTCTGAATCCTGACTATGTATTTATTCTGGCTGATAAGTAAATATGGTAACATCAGTAAATTATACAACCAACTTCTTTATTGCACATTTGCACTCAGACAAAAAAACTCCCTTCTTTAAATGAGTAAAATATTTTATCAAAGCAATTTTGTACCTCATATTTGGGGTCAATTTTTTTATTTTAAAATGTCAACCCACTTGATCCCAACAATTAACTACATTGAACTACTCATTTAATTTCCTAATATTATATACTTTTCAAAACGGTTTGATTTAAAATGCATAACAAAATCATATTTTGTGATGTTTGATGTATGTTTAATAGTTTATTCATTATTAGTGTTGCATATGTTTAATTTATATTTGCATTAAATACATGTTGGTGAGTGTTTAATTAAGGCCTATGCATTTAGCCATTTAGGTGTGTGAACGTCTAAGTTGAATTATTATCTTCTGATTGCAAGTTGTACCATGATTATTGAATTTTATGTGTTTTGCATTCATTTCACATGGTATACGACTAATATGAATGTTCATTCATATGTGTTGTCCAAATCACAATTCGGCTCTCATATTAAAAATTAATTAATAAATAAGTCTCAATAATTCGGTTTTACTTGTTTATAAACTTATATTCTTTTTTAAATAAAATGATACAAAAATAAATAAGTCCATAAAACATTACAATGGATTGCTTCCATATTAATTATTGCGATTAAGATATAGTAAATCACTTTAAAATAGGGCTACATTTAACATGTTCGCCCTTAATTATATGTTCACCACGTTAAATATTCAATAAAACATCCCTTTCTTATACATAACTTTTGTAAAATGTAAAATCTAAATTTTGTCTTATATTTTTTTTTTAGTGGAGAGGATTTTCAAAGTAATCTAACATTTTCTAATTTTGTAGGAACCTGGAGATATTGAAGCTGAAATAAAAGAATATGGTGTGAAGCATGTCTTGAAGAAAATACTGACGTCACGTGATCCAGGTGCACCAATGCTGCCCAAAGGAAAAGCTTTTGGTGACTACCCTGATAATTCTATAACCTTGCCTTCTTGGCTATCTGAGGAAGATATCAACTACTATGCATCCAAATACGAGCGCAACGGCTTCACCGGTCCTTTGAACCACTACCGGAACTTGGACTGGTATTGATCTCAAACTCGAGTTCCAAAAAAAAAAATGTTGTACAACATGATTATTTTATAACAGAGAGAGTATTACGAAATATTGTCAACATAGAAAGTGAGACTTGAGTTCTTAAAGTTTATTATTTCTGATTTGTTTGATGGATATTGGATGCAGGAACTGGGAGCTGACAGCGCCTTGGACAGGCGTGCAGGTAAAGGTACCAGCGAAGCTAGTCGTGGGAGACTTAGACATGGTGTATAATACGATCGGAGTTAAGGAATATGTGCACAAAGGAGGGTTCAAGAAAGACGTGCCTTTGCTCGAGGAAGTAGTGGTGTTGGAAGGAGTTGGTCACTTCATCAACCAAGAGAAAACTAAGGAAGTCAATGAGCACATCATTGAGTTCTTCAGCAAGTTTTAATCTTTCATCTTGGCTCTTGTGTTTCTCATGAACGGGGTGGTATGTACGAAATCGTTTGTTTAAATGTAGTATGGTTAATGGTTCTTCTGAACCTTATATCGTCGTGTGTTTTCTCATAAACAATAAGAAACTCTAGGTTCAATGTTATGTTCTTGTACACTGGAGTAGAGTAATCTTATTGTAGATTAGCAGTACTAATGTAAAAATGTGTAGTTTTATTTATTTATTCTACTGGTCAGTGGTCACTACTGTTGGTCCTATATGGTATATTAAGTTTGTGTTTACATTTATTCTTATACAAATGTCTTTGGTTGTAATAGCAATGCCACAGTCACAATGCAAGTTATTGCGCGCCTATGCCAGCTACCATACCAGACAGGCAGACAGTCGGACACACAGGATGTTTGCGGCTGAAATATATGCCCTTCACACATGCGCATGTTTGGGAGCACCATTCTCTTGTTCTTGATGAGTCGATGCAAGGATAGCTAAACTGTAATCGCCCAAGTATTGCATTCAAAAATTTACAGTATACTTCTATAAAGTACTTCATATTTCAAATCTGGTAAAACAATAGGTAAATAACAAGAGAAAACCTTTTGACAAGCAAGAAAACCTTGAAGACTAAATAACAATTACGTCACATACCCAAAGCCACAAGCCTAAGTTGTTCTGCACTCGACGACTCAACCTCCAAGTATATCTGATAAACACAAATTAATAAAACAGAATGCAGTTCTAGGCGTGCTATTTTTCCAACTGTAACCCCTTTCTCATCACATCCCCAACAATCACCTCCCACCGGCCAATACAACCTACTTCACCCCTTTCACTGCCATCAACGATCAACATCTATGGTCCAGCACAACACCATGACTGAAAGACACCACTGCCAAAAAAACAACACAACAGACCAATGTCGAAAAAGCAACATCACAGGTAACAGTACAGCTGCAACTATACATTCATCTCTACTTCGCCTCTCCTTTCACCCATAAGCCATAACAAACTAGAAGACATGGTGTACTGAACCACATACAGAAGATGCAAAAGCCATTAGAGCTCACCTAGTCACTTTTTAGATTTAGGATAGATAGGAGGAAATTTATGATGTGTAAGAGAATGGGACAAAGTGGGAAGACACAAGAATTTAAACAAAATGATGATGCTCAGATCATACAATGAAGAACGGAATGTGAGATGATACAGAAATGCAGAGACTAACATGGGGACTCTGGGGAGGAGGGAAGCATGATCTGCAATGGCACTGTTGAATTCAGTAACATGAGCAGTAATACGGTTAAAAATTACCAGTCATAATAAATAAGAAATATGAAGAAAAAATTTAGCCCTCAAATGAAACCTCAAAACTTTTACTGCTTTAACTCTCTTTACCCATCTTATCCTGTCCATTATCCCAATGCCATCTGCAACTATAATTCAAAGTTCGGATAATAGCAGCTCGGGCTAGTCAGCTATTAACAGCTCACATTAGCTAATCAAGGCAAAAGATAGCAGAAAAGTAAACGGAAACAAAAGGGATAAAAAGACTATCTCAAAATAATATGCCTCGCATGATATTTCATAAACAGAACTACAATAACCAAAAAAAGAGTAAAATCACAGTAGATATAAAAATAAGAGTAATAAAAATTAGATCTTGTCAATGATAGCTGCTAACTCCAGCAAAACTCGAATAGCTGCAACTGGAAACAAAAGAGCTTTAAGAACAAGGTGAATAACTTAATTCCTGTATCCCCTGCTGTTCCTCCTTCCTCTAGCTTTCTCAAACTTCCTACCCTCTGATCGGACGTATGGCTTAGTGTGACTGTGTGGGACACCAGGAGCTTTGCCAAAGTGCTTAACTGCCTCTCTGGCATTCTTTGGCCCTCTGAGAAGAACCTGCAAACAAAACCAGAAATTATTATCTTACTCAAACACATATAAGTGTCAAGTCCCTATAATTAAACCCATTCCAAAAGAAAAACATAAGCCAAGCACTAAAGTTAAGATTAAGCAAGCAACTAGCTTATTCCCGTATCAATTCATCAGAAAAAACGTAGGAATAGGCCAGGAGCCTTTGCATTGCATAAGGCTCTGCCAGGCCGCCATGCTACATAGACCGCCAGAACTACAGTAGTTCAAAAGGAGCTACTAAAAAATGTATCCCAAGGAAAACGAAGTCTCAGAAGTGAGCAGGACATGCAACAATCGTGTGAATTATTATAATTACAAGGGCATAAAGAAATACATAATCTTTGTATCTTCAATACATCAGATACATGTGCACACATCAACCCAACTTTAAACTTAAGCACAGCTAAACTCCTTAGCATGGTCTGCACTATGAGCACATTTAAAAATGAAAATCACGGAATCTATAACAAGCAATCGCTATGCACTTAATCCATGACTGCTACATGAGAGCATAATTTACATTTTTACTTTACAGAGTGAACGAGTTTAAAAACATCTTTTATTGGCTACTATTTAAATTCTAAGTGACAAGAGACATAAGATGATATATATATTTATATATATATACACCCAGGTATGGAGTAAGTATGCGTAGGACTCCTTCCGTCCTTTGTATTAGCATATTAAGGGAAAAGAAAATTTATTTCAATCAAATCTCCCATAAATCACTTCTATTCCACGTCCACTTCATGGCCTAAGGCCCTATGCCAACAGGCAGCTTAGGGCTTGACAACCAAAATAACTGTTATTAGAAAAAGGCAAGGCAGAGGTATCACAATTCACAAAGCATCTTTAAAACAAAGAGGCAAGGGAAAGCATGAGGCAGAGGCACACACATGGAAACAACACATAGTTTTGCAAGAATGGCATTACTTGGAAAATACAGGGTTCATACTAATTCAAACAATATGTTATACAATTTTGAATCAAACAAAGAGGAGAACATACAAAAAGGAGAACATGTTGGTTGGGATTGTTTTATATAGTGACACACACATCTCAACTCATGAAGCACATAGGTTGCTTGATTGGTTAATAGCTATGAATAAAGGGTGCACATAAGGCATTAAACTTCTATGGAATCACAGCATTGAATATGTCTAACAAATGGCAAGAGAACTCCACTCATGTCTACAATGTTTATAGCTTAGATAGGAAATTGTTGAATTTGGAAGGAATAGATATTAGATAGTTCAAGCAGAGCTGCACCACTGATTGATGTCAGCAAGCTGTAAGCAATCCCACATAATCCTGGTACTTGCAGGAAACCAATCCTCTCTCACCCTTAACTAAACCAGCCAGCTATTTCTTAATACATTTCTCACTTGTAGTGTGACCTGATGCTAGCGCCAAAGTATAATCATAACCTAGAATGTCATTAAGTACAATTGGTTGCCTAGATGCCAAGCTGCCAACTAATGCACCTTATACTATATTGCCTATTCAATAGGAGGATGATTGGGTTACAAGTCTTACAACCCTTAACCTAAATATGAATGCATCTTTCGTTAATAAATGCACACAAATCATAGATATATACAAGTCGCAACATAAAAATAGGTGAATCAGTCATGTCTATCTACCTAAATTCTAATCAGAAGCTATTTTGAAATATACTCCATACCAAGAAGGCCAAAGACCTAAATTACATTATGGAAACAGCTGAATTAGAGCCAATAGGATGCCCACAAAAGAAAAACAATGTCTTCTATCATATTTGAGCTCACATATGAAACAAATTTATCATTCAATATGGTTGATATCCAATTCAAGTAATTATCCTACATCAAACAATCCCCACAATATACACCAAATCCTTAACTCATGACAGAAAACAGTTACATAAACTACACAAATCAAACCAAATTCTCATGATAAACAATCAATTACGCAAAACAAAACATGAAACAGAAGCTTATCATCAACAATATCGAATCGAAGCGAAAGCTGATTGATAAAGAGTGAGGAACATACAGTGTTCTGTCCAAGAGGAGCCCTAAGAGCAAGCTGATCAAAAGTAAGACATTCACCACCAGCCTTCTCAATCCTTGCTCTAGCAGTCTCAGTAAACCTCAAAGCAGTCACCTTCAATGTCGGAACCTCGTACACTCGAATATCATCAGTCACTGTCCCCACTATCACCGCAACCTTGTCCTCCTAAACCCAATTCAACCCCACATTCAAAATTTCAAAAAAAAAACCAAGAAAACACACAAATTCAGTCAAAAGAGAGAGAAAATCACCTTCCCATTCATATACTTGATGAGACGAGACAGAGCAAGGGGAGCTTTGTTAGTCTTAGACATGAATAGCCTCTTCAAAACGACGGCGTTGAAGCTGCTACCAGTCCTACGAACGAGGAATCTGTAGAGCTTAACGAGGAGTTTAAGGTAGACATCGTTGGATTTAGGGGCTGTTCTCTTTGTCTTCTTCGACTTACCTCCGGCCTTCAAATCGATACCCTGTAATTCAACACAGAACTCTGAGTTAGAGATAAGATACAACAATGGAGGAATTTAGAGAGAGGAAAGACAAAGAGAGAATCACCATTGTTGTTGTTGTTGTCGCCGCTGCTCCGACTTACCTCAAGTTTGTGTTGGGGGCGATGAAATGTCGAAAGAAATGGGGGGATTATTAGGGTTTTTGGGGGGACTCTGTTGTGATTGTGTGTTGCTGAGCCTCATCTGTCCTCCGTGGATCTCAATCTCAACCGTCCACGTGTAACTTTTTTTTTTTAAGGTAAGATACTGAGTGTCTTTTCACCTATTAAGACTAGAATAGACCCGGTTTACAATAACTTATTGTAGACTCAACTTTCTAGTGTACCATACGAATGTGATTATATTATACGAAATGTGATTATATTATTACAAAAGTGATTATGTCATCTTGAAACTATTATGTAAATGTATCACTCAAAAAGTGAATTTATCATTATAAAAAGTATCAAATAGTAAATTACATTCAAAAGATGATTTTTAAATTTTATCATCCTAAAGATAATTGTATAATCTCATTAAATGGTTTAATATGAGATCAAAACATGACTCACAAAAAGATAATTATATCATCTAAAAAATTGATTATGTCATCCAGAATGTGATTATATTATTTGAAAGTGTCAAATTTTGGGTCTACAATAATTTATTGTAGACCGGGTCCATACAAGACCAATTGCTTTTCACCTCACCTCTTAATTTCATTTCAGCTCCCAATTTCCTTATCTCATAAAATATTCATTTCAGCTCAATTCTGTAAATGTGACCATGTTCAGTTTACCTTATTTTTACTTATTTTAAAAAAAATAAGTTTAGATTAGGGGTCTATTCACATTTACTTAATTTCAGTTCAGCTCCAATCAGTTCATTTCAGTTCAGCTCCAATCAGTTCATTTCATTTCAGTTCAGTTTAGCTCCTAATTTCCCTCTCTCATAAAATCTTCAGTTCAATTCAGCTCCAATTAGTTCAGTTCAGTAAATGTGAACAGGCTCTAGATCAGATCAGAAATAATAAGTTCAGATCAGATCATCGTTTTATGTGCAATTTTTTTTATCGCTAAATATCTTTAATTTCATAATGAAAAAAATTATGAAAATCACATATTAGTAAAATACACATTATTACAAATCTAACAAGACCTCACTTGATATATTTATTCCGTATATATTATCGTATATTTAAGGTCAAAGTTTGGTCAAATCTGACTTTCAAATCAGATCAGATTAGACCAAACCACACCATACCATACCAAATAATATCAAATAAGCAAAATAAGGTGAACCAAAGAATTACTATTAAGGTTCGAGAATATCCCGGGTCATTACATAGAAGTTAAATTATAATAGACACTTAATTTATGATTGAATATTTTTATATTCGTGATTAGATTTGTTATATATTCATATTGTCATTCACTACATATAATTTTTACTAGTTTTTTTTAAAGAAAATAAAAAGTATAATAGAGCTAGGTAGTAAGACATATAATGTTAAATTAGAGTTTTTGATTTGGGCGATTAGGGGGATTAGGGTTCTTAATTTAGGTGATTAGGTTTCTAAATCTCTTTAGGGGTTTAGGGTTCCAATTTAGAGGATTAAGTAAAAGAAATTGTCAATTTAGGGAATTAGCTAGGGTGTATAAATTTGGGGAATTAGGTATCGAATTATTATCAATTTGGAGAATTAGATTTTATATATTTTAGTAATTTTGCTTTATAAATTAATTATGGTATATAGGTCATATAAATTTGAAAATTAGGAAATTCAAACTAGCGTATTAAGTTTATAATTTTTCTTCCTACCGTATTCAAATAGGATATGAAAGAAGTGGGGACTCACAAACGGAATCATTTGTTGGAATCCATTTGTGAATAGCGCGACTCAATTTTTTTCAAGGGTTTTTTGTTTGGAGATACAACTTTACTCCGTATTAGCTAGTTGTTTTCAAATTTAAGGGTTTTTAATAGGTATTTTTAAAAAAAATAAAAAAAAAATAATAAAAAAATAATAGCACCACTTTAATCATAGAGGGAGACTAATTGTGATTTTCAAATCATAAATATATCAGCGTGATCCCAAAGAAGCAAAGATCAATTCACTTACATTATTTGCCCTTTGTCACTCTCTCTACAGTCTAACTAGGCATGCATATACATCTAATAATACTAAAGCATATCACAATGATAAATTTGGCAACCCTTGCGGACACTTGATCATACTACCGAGGATGTGGACTCATTGAAGCACTTGAAACCACGGCTGTCATCATCTCTGTAGTCGCCGAGCTCGAACTCTCAACATCCGCGTTCTCTCTAGCCAAGCACTCCCTTAATTCAATAACAATGTCACTCATAGTTGGTCTATCTGTTGCATCTAATTCAACACATTTCTTAGCTAGCTCTGTTGCTCTCCATAGAGTGTTGTAGTTTTCGCCTATCTCTATATGCAGTCTCGGGTCCAATATACTACCTATGTCACCTCTTTCAAATAGAGGTGTTACCCATTGAACTAAATGTGTGTTTGTATTTTTTATGATTGCTGATTTCCCTGTTATGAGCTCTAGCAGAACAACACCAAAGCTATAAACGTCACTCTTTTCGTTCACCTGTCCGGTTAAATGGTACCTGTATTCATTGTAATCATAAACATAACCTTTCATACTAGCTTAATTACATAATATATCAAGTGATTATTTCAACACTAGATACTCCACAAGTTCCTATATATGTCCAGAATTTATATTCAAGTTCAATAATGCAGGATTGTTGTTAAATGTGATCAAACTTAAGGTACATCTACTACAAAAAAAGTGTGTGAAATTATATCAAAATTCGATTGTAAGGGTGTGTAAAACAAATAGGCATTGACTCACAACTATATAGATATTCCGCTTGAGATATCGATCAATTAGATTGATTAGAGATGAAAATGATGCACTTACTGAGGATCAAGATAACCTGTTGTGCCAATGACTCGAGTCTTTAATTTTGAGACATATTCAGCTGGAAATATTTTTGAGAAGCCAAAATCAGCTACTTTTGCCTTGTGATAATCTCGATTTAGTAGTATATTAGCCGGCTTAACGTCTCTATGGACTATTGGCGGGCTACAACCGGTATGCAAATAATCCAATCCTGTAAATACAGAGGATGAACTTGTTTATTACTCTAACAACTAATCATTATTACTATAAAACAATTATGAAACATTTGAATCATAGTGAAAAATTTATTTGAAATTTCTAGTATGTCATGCTATTTGATGTGAGTAGTGATAGATTAAAGTTGGCACTTATGCAAAGGATTGGTTATTATTTATAAACAGATGTAAGAGGGAATAATATAATAAGTATGTGTATATAAATCGTTGTACGAGTATTATATTTCATTTACACCTTTAGCTGTATCAAAGGCAATCGAAAGTCTCCTTTTCCAGCTTATGAATACACCTGAATGTTCTGATCAACAAGAGCATAAGGTATTAAAATACTGTTGGACAAAATTAATATATCAATTAGTATGATGAAATATGATTATAATGCGGCAACACTTAGAACTATAATAATTATAAATTAACAACCTGAAAGAAGAGCTTTCAAGTCCCCTCCAGATAAGTACTCGTAAACAAGTGCCAAGTTGCTGGTTCCTTCTTCGCAGAATCCGATTAGAGTAACCAAGTTTTTGTGATATATCCTCCCTAGCACATTAACCTGTGCCGCGATCATTTGATTTGTAATTTTGCCTTTGAATATATTCAGGAAAGTTATTTATAGTGTTGCTTAAAAATGAATAACCTCATTGCTAAATTGCTTAGGGGCATCATTTTTTGAGAGCACCTTGACAGCAACTTCCCTGTGGTTGTCACTTAAGCGACCATAATAAACGATTCCATAGCCACCTTCACCTAGTACTCTATTGAAATCATTTGTCATATCCTTTATTTGAGAATAGGTAAATCGCGCCAATTGAAGCCTACTAGCATCTTCAATTTCAGTCTCATCTTTGGTAGCTTCTGTTACATTGTTAGTCCCACCTGTAACTAGTGTCAATATATTCAATATTTTTGAGAAGTGCACTTGTTGCATCAGCTGATTTTTATTTGTTCTGTAACTTTGAAATGACGAATTTAGTATAAGTGTTGTAGCTTACCTGATGGCCTACACCGCCACCTCCAAAACCAAAAGGCACCTACGATTGAGAAGAACATGACGACAGGTAGTAGCACCTGGAGGAGGACCTTATAATGCTCTGGCACAGAAATTCAGTTTTTAAAAAATTAAGTAAAAAATTCAGAAGATATGCAAGTACTTCTATAGGTTGCATTGTATGAACTATGAAGTATTAGACTTTTAATACTACTTTCGTTAATTTTTAGTTATAACAAAAGAATATTTTATGTCTCACAAATAATACACCTTTGTTGCTACCAAAAGTTAACAGAGGTAGTAAGTAAATGATCGGTTAGTTTATCACCTGATAGGGGATTCTTCTTAGGGGATGAAGGTGGTCCGGTGGGAGAAGGGGGTCCAATTAAATCAAACCCGAGATTACAACTAGGCAAAAATACTATAGTGATGGCCCATTGAAGCATCTTACTATATGCGTTGCTTAGGCATTTCTCACAAAGGTTATTACTGATATAAGGACTGCATTGTGCAAAGCCGCGAAGCTTCTGAGACGCGGATAGACTGGTTTCGTTTGTGGCAAAACCAAGAGGGTTTTTGTTATAAGCAGCTTTGCTAAAGAGACTAGTCATGGTCATGTTAAAGAGGTCGCGGTGTGGTTCAAGAATGGGGTCGCTAACCAAACCGGTATCATTGTAATGTGTTTTATATAGAATCTCTTCGTCGAGGGAGGAGATGGTGTGATTGGCATAGCGCAAGGTGCAAAACTCGTACCAAACAATCCCTTCTTTCTTATATTTGCACTTCTGTACAATTACCTGTACTGCAGCGTTGATGCACCTGTGGCACGTATCGACATCAACATCTCCTCTGCAGAAATACAGAGCAGTGACCTGATTAATACCTGTACCATTGGTGACTTTAGAATAGGTTCGTAAGGTTGCATCAGCAAAGAGTCTTGTGAAAAGCGTCTGATTTAGACTCTCTTCAAACGTGCTGCCTGCGCCGTAGGAGAAGCTAGTAGCCGGGCAATGGTGGTATGCAGGGCCTTTGTTGTCGTCGGCTGCATCATATGTGAGTAGATACAGCATCAAAGTGATGCTGATGATTAGGCCCTGCATCTGACCAAGGAAACTCATACTCGAGCTGTTGTAATTAATTAGCAGAGTTTAATTAGAATGAGTACCTGAGCTTATTCATATTCAAGTCATTCCTTCCTTAATTAAAGAAAGAGTTAAGATAGAATTTGATGAAGCAAGTCTTTTCATTACACTCCAAAAGTCAAAACTCTTAAAATGAAATAAAAATTGTTCCGAGTAATGGAATAGCACGCACAAAATATACAATCCTATCAAATTAAAGTTGACAAATTGCAATAATTGAATTTAATATCTAAGAAAGGATTATTTCTTTTGTACAATCTGTCTAATCTGGTAATTATTATACAGCAACTTGACTACTTGAGAGATTTTCTATCCTAAAAAAACCTCAGGTACGCTCATAGTCAATGTGTTTCATATACTCTATGCTTATCAGGTTGCACGAACATTCCAAATTATTGCTTGTATATACAAGTTGTTGTAATTTAAAGAATATAAATAATCAAATTAGGATGCTAATAATTGATACCTTCATCATATACAACCTCACTCACTTTTTAGAGGTGACTTATTAGCCAACCAGATGATTTAGACCTCTTGAGTGCTTGACCCCTTCCTGTTTTACAAACTTGAAGATTTCGCTTACAACTAGCTAAACTATGGAGTACTAATAATTGGGTGACATAAGAAGAATTCTGTTTTACAAAAATAACAAAAGTGTTAAGATCAACCTGCATTTGAATCTTAAAAGTTGTGAAGATGAAAAATTCGGGTAAATACATGCTCGTTTTACTCTTTACAATGTCCTTGATAGCCATTCATGTAACAGGTCAAAATAGCACGGGTCTAACCAACCAAACAGACACAACTCGAAATTTACGATTTCTAGTACCCAAAAGAGACTTGGAAGATTTTGTAAAAGTTAGACCATTGAGTAACGGCAGTGATGACATCAGTGGTTTTTCCATTGATGTTTTCAGGGCTGCGGCCAAGCTTGCCATCCCTTCGCGTGGATTTGATTTAGTTCCCTTCACTAAAGACGACAGGACTACCATGAGAGGAACTTTTGATGAAATGCTTCAGGCCGTCGATAATGAGGTGCATATACTCCCTTCCATCCCTTTCTTTGTTAACTATTATTTGCAGCTAAATCATTTGTCAAAGGACGAACTCAACCAAAAGCTTAATCTTAATGTTCTTATACTCTATCATCGTTCAACAGTTGTAGGCAGCACTAGATCATGCTCGGGTTTTAGAACATTTTTTTATAATCATCAACTATGTAATATGATTCACATTAATGTGACACAAATTACATTACAAGTTTGCAGGGATTCGATGGTGCGGTGGGGGAGATAACAATATTAAGTCGTAGGATGCAGTGGGTTGATTTTACATTGCCTTACTTGGACACAGAGATAGGCCTACTGGTGCGGGTACAGGCCATGAATAGTAAAGAACTCGTTGCGTTGACACCAGCTACAAAAATAATTTTGGTTCTAGTTGGTACACTTGGCTTTAGCATTTTGGTCGCAGTTGGGTATTGGATTTGGAAGCTATGTACATACAAGCATGCAACATCATCCACACAACTCTCAGGTAACCCATAGCCTAGAAATTGTATGTAATTATCCATTATTGTGCAGACAGATTAAATCCGACCCTTATAGCAATCGATTTTTATGCAATTGTGGATTTGTGGGTGACAATTTTTTTCACTTGGTAATAGCTATGTAGTATTTGGAATCACATAACTATACCAAGGTTCTATAATCTAGCGAGCTTTACTTAGTTTGTCTTACTCCGTACATAATATATACTTCTTAGGGCCTGTTCTCATACATTTATTTTCAGTTCAGTTCAATTCAGTTCGGCTCTTAATTTCCTTCTCTTATAAAATATTCATTTCAGTTCACTTCACTTCAATTCAGTTCAGCTCCTAATTTCCTTCTCTTGTAAAATATTCATTTCATTTCAATTTAGTTCAGCTCAGTTCAGTCAATAAGAACAGGCCCTTACTCTGTATAACTAAGTGATGAGTTATTCATTGTACCGTCAATTTAAACACGATTGACTTGATGGCCTCTGACAGAGTATAGAACATATTCCTGGGCCTCAATCATCAACTTAAGTTTTTGGTTGAGTTGGTCTTTTATCATGGTATCAGAACTAACGTGACACAAAAGGTCATGAGTTCGAATTTCATCCACCCCTCCTTCAAATTGCATCCACATTTCAAGCTCAAATGGTCTTTCATGTGAGGGGGGAATGATAGAGTATAAACATATTCCTAGGCCTCAACCATCATCTTAAGCTTTTGGTTGAGGTTGGTCCTTTATTAGACTCCATAGTTCCATATATGGCCTTGTTTGGCAAATGGCTGTTGGCTGGTTCACTTGGCTTGTTTGACCAGCTGGAATGTTTGGCTGTTTATAATGGCTTTTGAAATTGACTGTTTAAGCTGGCTGTTTATTAAAGTGTTTGGTAAATTAATTGGTGGTTGTTGGCTGTTTATTAGATAATTTGTGGACCAACAAGCCAAAAGCCAACAAAAAAGCTTCTCAAAGTAGCTTTTTCATTTTGGCTTAAAAGTCAGCTTTTTCGCTGACCAAAAAGCCAATTACCAAACACATTTTTTGGCTGTTTGACCACCTAAAAAGCCAAAAGCCAAAAGCTAACCAAAAAGCCATTGAAAAGCCAATTACCAAACATGGCCTATATTTTGTGGATGAGTTGTGACTTGTTTTGGTGACTAAAACCTTGTAATTTTCAAAATGCAGTACTAGCGATTCTATTAGTTCTTATGGTGTTACTACTCACAATAGCTTCATACGCTCCCCGCCAAACTTCATCATCATCACTATCAACACGACGATCGGATAGCAAAGTGAAGAGCCTCGTAGACTTAAAAAGAGAAGGGTTGAAGATAGGCTATCGACAAGGAGCCTTTGTGAAATCAATGCTGGTTAATAAAGGAGGGATTTCGGAAACAAATTTGATAGAACTAGAATCCGAAGTCGAAATGCTTCACAAGCTACAGACAGGAGGTGAAGATGGTGGTATCGATGCTGTTGTTGCTGGTACTCACCATCTCAAACTTTTCCAAGAAGAACATTGCGATGAATTTACCCTTGTCCAAGATTTTCGTGTTAAATCTGCTGGACTTGGATTTGTATGTCTCTTTCTCCTCATTTTAATCTTCTCTCTATTCATTTAATTTATTGCTAATTTTATCTACATAATCAATTCGTTCTAGTTTAGTTGTTTATCCAAGGTAAATTCTTCTACTACATGATTTTGTTTCTAATTAAATGATCTTTAAATTACGGTTAGTATGAACAATTAAGCAAGTGTAAATTACAATGTCATTTTTTGTGAGAAAGCCCCCTTTATCACCTTGACGAACAAAAGTTATTTGAATAAATCAACAAAAAAAAATCCCGTCAACATGGCATATTTGTAATTATATCAATAACTATGATACCGATTTTATATAAAAAGTTGTTGATTTATTTATATCGGCCACTTAACAAACAATTTTTTACTATTTATCAAGGTAATTAACTTTCTCCGAAAAAAAAAATCAAGGTGATTAACTTGTGATGTAACCGTACTTTATTATGTTGCTTTAATTTAGTTTCACTTTTAACCAAAAAAAAAAATTATATTTTCTCATTATATGTAGAATTGTAGAGTAAGGCCGTTACGAGAACATTTTATTATTTTTTTAACCCATATTTTGAAAAGAAGAAGAAGAAGAAAAAAAAAACACTAGTAAGAATGAACAAAAGTGAAAAGATTAGAGAAAAAACTAAGGAGGTATTTGGTATAAACATTGTAAATGAAACGGAAAGGATTCAAATAAGTAAGGGAAAGGGTAATGATAAACATTACCTTTAGTCCTTTACTATATATTTGGTATCCTATTGGAATGGAAACAATTTGAGAAGATTGTGATTGGTTAAAGAAACGTATTTTGATTCCACTAGTTTGTCAAGGATAACAAATTGGGGAATTTTATTACCTTTCGAAAACGGTATTTGTTACTTTTAACTCATAATACCAAATAATTAGAAATAGAAACATTTAATTGAATCCGTTTCCTACACCTAAAACTACTATACCAAACCCCTAAAAGTAACCGAGTAACCAACGTATTACATTAGGTTTTTTTCAAGATTTTAACCTTTTTTTTTTTTTTTTTTTTGGAAGAAACCAACAATTTTTACTTTATTTCCTAGAAACATGCTTCATTTTTCTTTAGTTTGTACTTCTATATGGTTCCATCTAAATGCAATCCCATTAATATACTAATAACATTATGTTTGGTTTTTTCATGCAGGCTTTTCATAAAGATCAATCTCCTTCTTTTGTAAATTTATTCTCAGAAGCCATTGTAAAACTAATTGACTTTGGAAATATGACAGAAATTCAAGAGGCGACTATTGGTGATTTGGATAAGATATGTCAAGAAACCACCGGAGCGGCTGGCGGTTTCCGATCCACAGTTGAAGATCGTATCTCTATTTGGCTCCCAGTTACGACTGCCATATTCGTTGTCGTGCTGGTGCTTGTCATGCTTTTATCTTATTGCGGATTGCTTTGCATCAAGAAATAAGTCACTACCTTATGTACACTATACGCACTTACCTAGCTTGCTATAAACTTCATCCTTTGTTTTTAAATAGTTGCCTCTATCATTTCTCTTTTGAAGGTCCAACTTTTATTAACAATGAGATATTGTTAGAAATATTTCAATATGTATATTTAAAATATTTATTTTGCATAATTATTTACTCACAATAAAATCTTAAATATATTTATGATCAAACTATTATATTATATACCTTGAAAAAAAAAATAATGGTACGATTATTCAGTAACGAAAAAGGTATATATATGTAAATCAGTAAATGTTGTTGTTTGTTATAGGGATGGATCACAACTATGGTATAATACGGAGTAGATAGTGTTTTTTTTTTTAATTGTGTGTTTAGAGATTGACAACAAGGGTTAGATAAGAATCGATCCTAGAATCCCTTGAGAGTGAAAGTGAAGCTTTAACCAATTTTGTTACCCCTTAGTGTCTGTAATTTTCATTCATTCTTAAAGGAATATTTGGCTCACAAAGTTATATGAGTTTGAAATTGAGATTGAAATTAGAGTGTTGTGGGGTTGGACCTTGATTCTTAATTTAACACCTTGTGTTTTAATTTTGGGTGTTGTTGTGTGAACAATTTTTTTTTTCTTTTTTTTTAATTTGTGTGGTAATGATTCATATACACCCCTCTCATGAGTTCCTAAACCTAAAAACCATTCGCACTCTAAAAGTGGTTTTGAATTATATATTCTGAATTAAACATGTAAACGAGTAATCAAAATAAATAAAAATAACATGACAAAAATATTAGAAGTAACATCATAATATTAATCAACACAAATTAAATCACAATCATGAAAATAATAATAAAAATCCTATTATGATACTAACAAATTAGATAAAATAAGTAATTAAATAAATAAATCCTATCACTCAGCTCATTCATTGATGGGTGCATATATAATACTCAAGCATTTTTATTTTTGTAATAATCTATATTATACTAATAATAAATTTTTATTGCTGCCAAATTTAAAATCATACATTATCTAGTCAAGTTTTTTTTTTTTTTTTTTTTTTGAAGCAATTATCTAGTCAAGTTATTACAATTAGGGATGTATAAATCTGATTTTTACCCTTTCTTGTGCGTCAAGGAGAATAAAATAGGTCGGTTATTTATTGCCAAAAAAAAAAGGGTCGGTTCTTTCCAACAATTGGATATAAATATCACCTTCAATCCATAAAATGCATGCATATCTCTTTAGAAAAACAAACCCTTTTTTTTTTACGAGTGTTCCAATTGTGTTCTTAAACCTATTTTCGCAACTCATCAGCTTCATCATCAGAAATATTCAGGTATTATATTCTCAACACAAAATAATATTACTCTTTGAATTTTTTCTCTTCTTGTTTTTTGTGTTTCGGACTTATAGAAATTGCAATGGTTTGTAACTCTAAAGATTTTCGATATCGATGTATGGAAAATTGCATATCCTTGACGGGTAAACGTAATGGTAGATGTAATTAATCCATACAATGTAGTGTCTTTTCTTGATGCGAAGAGAGATTGAGACGTCGAGAGAGCTACAAAACAACTCTACAAATCAAATCAACAAATATATCGAAGAAGAAATACGAGAATACACACTTCGTCGTATGGATTAATTACATCTATTGTTCTTCCTATTCATGTATATGTATTTGTCATACACTTATATCATAATCTTTAAGTAATCTGTCATATATTAAAAGATGGTAACAATTTGTTATTTAGTTTTTTTTTTTTTTTTTTTGGACAATATGTTATTTAGTTTTATGTGTATCAATATACGAAGTATTGCCTAATTTTTGTTTATTATTTTTTTTTCGCTTGTATTCTTGGATTGCTTCTTTTATCGTTGTTAGAGGCATATGATGAATTATTTGCTAATTAAATTAGATATTTATTAGTGGACTTGTGTAACGAATAGCATTGAAATCATTTAGGGTTTTCGATTAATGATTAAAAATCCTATTTTATATTAATCGGGGTTTTCGATTTATGATTAAAATTCCTGTTTTATATGAATAGGGGTCTTTTTTTTTTTTTTTTTTTTGAGGAAAATGAATAGGGGTCTTTGATTAAATAATGAATAAAATTCTTATTTTTGTATACTACATGTTTTAGTACATTTGATTGATTTTGAGATTTGTAGCACTATTTCCATTAAGTTAGTATATTTTGTAGCTATAAAGTGCTCCAATGATGAGCAATTGCATATTATAGCTTGAAAAAAATAAATAATTAAATAAAGTAAATTTTGTCATATACATGTCATAATTTGGATGAAATTTCTTTGCAAAACCAAGCAACGAAAATTGTAACTTCATTGGAGAGGTTCTAAAATCGCAACTTTATTTAAATTGCAATCCTTTTTGTGTATCATTGGAGATGCTCTAAAATTGCTACTTGAAATAACAATGCAGGGTAAAATCATACCGCTGTTTTTAAGACTGATATACAAAGTTTGTATCAGCCTTATTATTAAGTAGGGCTCCCTCATTTTTTATAGATTACCAAAAAAAATTTTATGGAATATATGTTATTGGAATACTTACAATTTATATTGGAATAAAACTTTTTACATTAAAAATATGCACATGATTATATGAGTATAATATGATAAAATCAAATGCCAGGTTAAACTCAAATTTTAGTTTAAAAAGTCATGGTCAAATTAGCTAAATCAAAGTAACAAGGAAAGCGGTTTTGCTTCTACATACCTTGCCCTTGATTTTGGAAAAAAAAAATAAACGGATTTTTTCTAGCTAGTCTCAGACTTGACCTAGAAACACATATTATAGGCTAACCCAAACCCTCATTTTTTTATGTAGTATTTTTTTTTTTTTTTTTTTTTGATCAAATAGTATCTTACCATTACTCTGCTTTATGAGTATAACTTTTGCTACTTAACCCTAATCATACAAAATAAAAATTAAAGTAAAAAAATAAAAAAGGTCTCATCCATGTAATCTCAATGAACTATTTTTTCAATTACAATTAGATAAATTAGACAAATTATCTTCACAACTAGGATGTGTAAGAGATTACGAAGAAAAACTAATACGGAACATGCAAACATTGTTGCAACTTTGCTAAAGGAAAGTGTTTACGTAGTATTTGATTCAATTGACAATTTGACATGTATGGGATTCCCCAGTAGTTAGTGACTTAGTGATAAGTCTTGTTTGCCCATCATGCCTATCGGCTACCGCCACATCTACCCCATAATTGACTCATGGAGGTTAGAACTTAGAAGAAGAGATGCGATCATACGGATATCCTTGCGTTTACTCTATTGAATAATGAACATGAGCTCGCAACTCCCAATTAGATGTAGTGACTTCGACAGTGGAATACTCTTCTGTAAGTAGAAATGCTAATATCAAGTCCGATACTGTGGTATATAGCATTCACTTAATAGATGTTTCAAATTCCGTAAAAAAGAGACAAATAAATTAATCTGCTTATCATCATCGATTATTTAGTGATAGGATACAGATTTGAGCAACAGAAGCTAACTATTTAAATGGACTACACATGACAAAATGCCGCAACAAGATCATGGAAAATTTTATCCTCTCAAACGTAAAAGCAAGGGAAAAGGGTAAATGCCCAAGCGAACAGCAAGGCATGGATTTTAGAATTGCTGACCACTCTTCAAACCATCAATCTAAGCACTCCATCTGCATAAACATGAGAACGGTTTAAATTAAAATCTGATATCAACTTCAGTAGTTCTTTCTCCTTAAGAGTTTGATGTATGGGAATGGGATTTCAAGTGTGCACGGAGAGGCGCAGGAAGAGGGGGGGGGGAGTATGAGCAAGATTGTATGAAACATAAGGCATCTCTACTGTAAAATCCCATAATGATGATCACTTCCCAAATAGAGTCAGTTAAACTTTAAGATTTTACTTTCCCCATATTACACTACCTTTTTGCGAAAAACTCTAATGAATGACTGCCAGAGGCATGAACACATGGTAGGTAAGAGAGAAGGATAGTTCATTAAAAAGAACCCCCCAATCAAATGACACTCATTGAAATGGGGAAATGAAGTTCATATGAACCCATGCAACTATGCAAGTTCAGCTCCATATAACATTACTGAACCAGTGGAATTACCATTCAATAGCAACAGTAATTAAAGCTATGTACAGTAAATAATTATGGGTTATGATGCAACTCAGGCAAGTATCAAATGATAGAGCTTATAAAATGAGATGATATCTGCATTCAGAGAAAGCATGCGATGGGAGGGACAGAGGAAGACATAAGTAGAATACCTTCCATAGGCCATCATTGAGATAATGCAAGTTGTCTACACCAATGCCCTTGTTGATAGTTTTTCTGCATCAAGAAGGTAAGCTCTAAGCAAGTTGCATATAGGAAAATTATACTGATGCTATATGCCATGTACTATTTTTTCAACGTATGTCGTAACTCTCACAAAAATATAAAATAGAAAGCAACTAAAGGAGACTAAATCAATCATTTTGGCTCATGTCATGGGATGAGACAAATTTTACACTGATTGTCACTGGCCTACCTCAAGGAGACTAAATACACAATTTAAAAAAAAAAAAAAATTAAATATAAAAAAAATATAAAAAAAAAACATAAAAAAATATAAAGTATAACATTCAGATGAAAAATGAAGCAAAGAATGAAAGAATTGAAAATCATCACATGCATAGAAAGAAAGCATAAACACTTAACTCTCACAAAAATATTAGACTTTTGCTAAGTTGTGCCAATACTGGTTTTGGTTATGAACATAAAATCTAAGATCACAACATCCATACCAACAAAAACTTGGAAATCAATGACATGGTCATAACTTTGTTTAGCCCCACTTCCAAGATACAATTTCACAAACCAGCAGTACTCTAAGAAATGATCATAGGATGAAACTTACATATCTTTTGCGGACATTTTTGTGAAGCCAATAGCAAGAGCATGCTGCTTTCCTTCAGCCATTATGGCCTGAGATATTAATTTCAAGAATTAAAATCACATAAGATGGAGTATACAATATTCAAATATTATCTAATGCATGGACCTTCATGAATAAATCACTTAAATGTGCATTACTGGATTTCAAGCATGAGGAGACATACCACAGGCCTCTCGCTCCCAACTTCTTCATCTAGCACACCACCAGGTGATGTAAGACCAGGACACATGATATTAGCACCAGAAAAAACGAATTTAATAGCACCCCTATCTACTTGAAACTTCTTCATTATATTAGGATCTGCAGCAGAATAAATTTGCCAAACCATTAAAATCTTTAAGCTTGATTATTTAAAACGTCTAACCTACACAAATGACCCAAAATTCAGAAGGAACCTTCTCAAGTTAATCATCAACAACCCATATAGAAATGTAAGAGGGGAAAAAAAAAAAAAAAAAAAAAAAAAAAAAAAGGAAGGAGAAATCCTGGTATGGTATATACATTCAAACCACATATATCTATAGAAGTATAGAACAATGCCACGGGAATAAAACAGCATTAACGGTTAACCCAAGTAGAGATAGGGGCCAGTAATTTTTGACAAGACACGAAAATAGTAAAATGGAAACATGTCACCTAGACTACAAACATGAATTTTAAGATTAAAACTTCACAATATAAAGCAAATTTCTAAATCCAGGCTTACATTGATGAAGAAGTCGTAGAGTTGGCATATAAGGTCCATCACGGATATTGAAGAACAATGGGACATTATTGACTACAACAAGATTTAAATGATTCTGACTGCAAAAAAAGCAAAAGAATATAGTCAGATAAGAAAATAACTAAGAAAGCTAAACAGAAATGAGCAACAGAGAAGGACAAGAACATCAGAACCATTTCACAACTACAAGGGGTGACTTCTTTGGCAGCAAATCTTCCAAAACCGGTTCAAGTCCAGGATACTGTCAAAAAAGAGAGCAATATCAGTTACACTAAAAGTAAATGAGGCAATTGGTGTTCTTGAGTTTCATGGACTGAACATCCTTATCACAGAGATTTTTATGAAATACAGCAAGAGCTTTGCACCAACCTCTTCAGCTATACTTTGACGAATTCTCCTTTGCACAGATGCCTTGACTTGATTTTGGGCTGAGACATCTTCAGAAGTGAACCTGATAAACATAAAGGTAGAGGTCATTTACCAAATTTGAGAGCCAAATAATATGAGAAGGTATTGATACACAACTATACAAAAATCAAGCTGATTCATGTAGGTCTTCAGTGAACATCAACAAGATTTTTTGTATGAACCAGCCCTGGAATTCATTAGCTTAAACAAAAACTGATAATATATTACTGTATACTTTATGCTGGTCAATAATTAATGTCCGACCTCTAATATACGGGAAAAATTGTAATAATATATTAATTGTCATCCGTGTTCATACTAGCCTAAGTTATCGTTAAGTTTACGCCACACCAAAGGTAGGAATTAAAAGCTGACCAAGCAGAAGGATCCTTTTAGATCAACGTTCAAGCAACGAGAAGATAATTATATCTTGTTCATTCCTATAATATATCTGACAAAGTTTAGTATGGAGTAGCTCGCAACCTCCACCATCACATGAAATGGTCTCTATAGTCAGCATGGTCAACTAAAGCGATTGCCAGCTAGCCCAGTTTATATTACATTATCTTCTCGTGGGCTTGTGGCTATGCTACAACTACGATTTTATGGGGCAGAGGGGTTATAATTGTGCAAAATACACATTGAATGTGATATGTCAATGGGAGAGATAGGACTATCATTTCAATAAAATTCCAGCAGTGGACCACAAACTAAAACATTTCTATTAATTATCTTGCTTTTATGCATAACATTATTACAAGGTTCTGAACAGCTCAAACCTGTCTCAATAATTACATTTAAAACCTTGCATAGACAAAATTTTCTTCATTATTTATCATGCAAATATGCATACAGTTGTATTTTACAACATTCAGAACGTAATTACATTTGGAGTACTATGTTACAGAATATCTTCATTTCAACTCAATAATCCATGGAAACACCTTGACATGGGTGCAGAGAATTCACACTTCAATTTGGAGTGGAAAATGAAACTTTTCTTCCAAATTTAGACTTAGATATATGCCTATGTCTTGACAGGTTTAGTGGTGTCCTAGTTTCAAGTAATATATACAATGAACCTCACTACATCATCTTTTTATCATGCAGATATGCATATAAATACTCTCTACTATGCCCAACTTTCATTTTCCCAAAGTTAGCAAAATAAAATGCGAACTCGCTCTATAAGTAACTTTCATTTAAAACATAGTTATTAGAACAGAAAGTTCTGGGCAGTGTATCACCTAGTTAATATTCAATTATAGCCTCTAAAGTACACTTGTAGAAACTACTTTCAGATGTATTGGTTGGACTCGCCAAATGAGCTAGAAACTGCTTTGTTAAATATAAGTGGCTGTTCACACCTAATTCTAAGTCTCAAATTCGATGCCAATAGGAACTGACAGATGAATCAGCCTATGTTCATACTTGTTGCAGGAAAGGCGCAAATGGCTAGGAAATGGCTAATACATTTTCTTACTTTGCTACTGTTCTACAGAGGAACATGGCATCACCAAAATAAATTATCCAGAGAAGAGGAGAAATTCATGAAAAAGCATTACCACAATATTCTCAATTCAACACCCTGCCCCAGATAAACAACCTTAATTATCTCAAAAGAAATTAGTGAAAAGAACCCATACGGAATTAGAGCTTTGGACTCCTAATAAACTCATAAAACTTCCGACTCACAATAAACTTGTAAAACTATTGAAAACTTGCAGTACTATTTTGTTCACCTTATTTATAAGGGTTAATAAGGGATACTCAAGTTCAAATTATAATTAAAATATTTTTAATAAGGTGTAATAAGTTCAAATAAGATTAGATACGTTCAAATAAGTGAAAATATGGTAAATAGAACACACCCTCTATAGTAAGCTCATCCATCTAAAGTAACAGGATTTCAAAACCCTCTTCATCCATTGACTTCCATGATCATACTGCTTCGGCAGAATTATTAAACAATGACACAGCAATGAGTGATTAGTTTTTATCATTCTCAATAACTCTAGTATTCAACTATATTCGATTTTAGCAATCCCAACCTCAAAGCCACATCAAGCATTCACCTAGAGATGTTCAAATTTGTGCCACGGCATTCTAAAAACTACAAAGTACCCGATATTTCTCCGAAACGATTGCTATTCTCAATTTTTTTTTTTTTTTTTTTTTGAAACCTTGCTATTCTCAAATTAGATGATGGGTTTATATTACTCCCTCGTGCCTACCTCATACAGCAGATAAAGATGACAAAAGAACACACTATCAAATATGCTAACTGCAAAAAATTATCCAATAATCATGAATTTCCTCCACAAAACCAAATCAATAATAATTGCAAAACCCCCAATTGAATTTAGGTTTCATAAATTAACAATTTCTATACAATTAAAATTAAAAAACAAAAAACCAGAAAGAACTTATATTTCCACTGCACAAAATCAAAACAACTATTGCAACAAAGACGAATTAATCATCAACCAAATCACATCATATATAAATCAGAGATATGAATAATTAACAAATTAATTGCAGCTTTAAACCTAGAAAGATTAAACGCGCAATATAATAAAACAAATTAAGGAGGAGGAGAGAGAAAGTACTTTTTGAACATTTGAGATTGCGGAGGAGAGAGAAGATGAAAAACTTAGGGTGTTGCAGAGGAATCCCCGATTAATTGAGACTGTGATTGCGAGAAACAGCAACTGGTGCAAAAGGAGGGGGAGAGGTGAGACTGAGTGTTCTTCTGGAGTTGCTGTGCGTGTCTACAAAGCAGCTCTATCACTTTACGGAGTTTTTTTAAGTAAAGATCGGTAGTGCCGTTGCCAATGTGGCTCATGCTCAAGTAAGTCGTGTCCAAACGAACCAAAAAAAATAAAAGTGTTATGATGTAAACTAGCCAGTACACGGTTTTGCTCACATGACGTGCTATGTAATTGGATCTAACAACTCGTCATGCTCTTGTCAGGCTCGCAAATGTTATACATGCATGACTCATGGTCAGCACTGTGCGTGCCCTATTGTGTCGTGTGGGGCTTGTTACGAGTGTATGCTAAGTCAAGGCCATTTTCGTGTTGTGTTTAATCGTTCTTTATGGCGATATTGCACATGTCCATCGCAGGCTCAAGGATTAAAAGCAATTGAGCATTCTCTTATGCAAAAATCACAAATAATTTTACATCATGATCTTATGAAAAATCATGAATATTTTTAAATCACAATCTTATCAAAATTCATAAATAAATTTATGAGCAGTATGATTTAGTAGGTATAGTTTATTCATAATTGAATCAATTATTTATTAGAGGATTCAATTCAGTTGCCAATCGCAATACCTAAATTAAATTGTGCATACTGCATGATCAAAATGCGGCTTTAGAAGTTTATTGAATTTGGTTGACTTTATTGACTAATTCTTTCACTGTTAGAATATATAGTTCACCCCTAAACTCTTTAAACGTTTCTTCATACATTTCAGATCGATCCTTGATGTAAAGGTGTTTAGATTAACAATTCCTCTTTATAATCATCAATAAAGATTACTTTTTAAGTTTTTGCATAGTAAGTCCACAAGGAAACTATCAACAACATATTGTATCATAACAACAATCATAGTAAAATGAGCAAAATTCTTAAGGTACTTGTTTAGGGTGAAAATACCCTAAGACACGTGGCCCAATAAAGGTTTGACACGTGTCAATCTTTCAACGGTCTGCAAAGGCCCAATCCCTTTGCAGACACGTGTCCCTTATACCCTAATTGAGGTACAGTTCTCCCTTACTATAAATAGTAAGGGTAGACCTCATTTATGACACACATACATTAATTGCAACCACACAAAAACAAACAAAGCCCAAACCTACTGAAACGCTCTCGAACTGAGAAGCTTTTATTGTTCTTATTCCACTTCGAAAAAGATACTAACTTAATCTTCGGAGGCGGAACTCCCACCCCCATCCGGAGTCTCCGTTACTTGTGCAGGTACAGGCGTAAGAAGGAAGTCTGCTAGGTGCAGGTACAGGCGTAAGAAGGAAGTCTGCTAGGAAATTGTAACTCTCCCGAAGGACATAAAATACCCCCAAACAGTACTAATAATCAAGGACTAATCTGTCTGGTTTAAACCATCATAATCTTATAGGCATTTTATATAAGGACATACAAAATATATTAGGCATGATTTGGCTATTGACTCTAATGAGATCGAATTGATGATAAATTAGGTTCCACGTTGTACATATTACTTCCTTCATTTTCTTTTATTTGTAACACACTTTAAGAAATAGATTGATTAATTAATGTAAACAAACAAATTGATCAAAAATAATTTATACACAAGTACATAATCATTTATTACCCTATTGTCCCCTCTTTTTTTTTTTTTTTTTAACAATAGTTGTTCCCAATGTTTAAGTTATATTTGATAGATTTGTCCATTCACCTCCTAAAAAGTGTGTGCCTAAAGATTATTTTGCAAAATAAAAAAATAACAAAAAAACAAGGAAGTACATTTTTTTATGACAAGAACGAAGGAAGTACATTTTTTAATTAATAAAAAAGCTAGAGTTTGTTCACATTTACTGAATTGATTGGAGCTGAATTGAACTGAACTAAATCGAATAGAGATGAAATGAATATTTTATGAGAGAAGGAAATTAGGAGCTGAACTGAATTGATTGGAACTGAATTGAATTGAACTGAACTGAACTGAACTGATTGAAGTTGAACTGAACTGAAATTAAGCTGAAGTGAACAGACCCTTAGTTTGATCGCACCCAGATATTTACCCTTGCTATCTAGGTTTTTTTAACAAATAAAAGTGTAACCATTTTGGCTAATATACCATATACTACGTAATACGTACGTTGATTTTAAAATTAGTGATTGCATTTGTATATTAAAACGCTTTGCTTCTAGCCTGAAATAATTAAAATGTAATGACTCACATCAATCATCTGTATTTATTTTCCCTAGATGAAGAGATTGATGAGTTTTGTGATTTGTGAAACTTGTATTAATGATCTTCTTATATTTAATTATTTTTGGGAGCTAGTTATATTGGAGGTCTTTTTTTTTTTTTTTCCTTCCTGTCGTTGAGGGAAAGTCACAAACATTGGAGTTTATTATTATTACTATAATTAAAAGAAATATCTACTTGGTTAGATCCTACAACGACATTCTTATTTTTTTTCTAAGAGAATTTTTATTTATTTTTTTTTTTGGAGGAAAATTTCCTCGGAATTGGTAAAAACAAGTGAAGAATATTACTATATTAAGCTAGCTAGCTTCACAATACTATGTAATTTACTAATTAAAAATTTGACTATAAAAGATGAAGATGTGAACCATTTTTTGTTTTTTTAAACCCTTGGAGACTTGGAGTCCCCAATAACTAGGCACTAATCAGTCTAACCCATCATAATTTTTTTAGGCATTTTATATTAGGGACATACATATATACACAGTATTAGGGTAGGCATGATTTGGCTTTAATTCTATGAGATGGAATTGATAAATTATGTTCAATTTTGTGGATATACGGAGTATATATTTGGATAAATTAAAGGAGTTTGATCATTTCTACTCTATATAATTAACTATAGTTATCAGCAAATAAAAATGTAATCATAGAAAATGCTAATATATTAGGTAAATACTGTGTGAAGTTGACTTTGAATTAGGGTCTGTTCTCTTGCGTTGAAATTCAGTTCAGCCCAGTTCAGCTCAGTTCAGTTCAGTTCAGTTCAGTTCAGTTCAGCTAAGTTCAGTCAATGAGAACATGCCCTTAGTGATTGTATGATTTGTATAAAATGGTTAATATATATATATATATATATATATATATATATATATATATATATATATATATATATATATATATATTCACATACATCTTAATCTTTTAGTGTCAATTTTCTATAAAGAGATATTGGGAGTTTGGGATATGTAGTAGTATTGTGAAGCTAGCTAGCTTGTACTAATTATATTAGTTGATTATGTTTGGGGGGGGGGGGGGGGAGGGGGAGGGGAAGGGGAAGGGGATAAGGGAATTCCCTATAATGATTGAGTCTCATGAGGTTTGATCCCTAGATCAGACCTCAAGGATGCGAGATTGGAAAGATGCCACCAGTCTACTACTCCATCACCTCAACCCCAATCTATCTCCTTAGTAGATCATAGTCGGCGTTACATATGCTATACATTTTTGTACAAAAAAATCAATAAATTGACACTAAAAGATTAAGATGTGAAACGTTTATATTAACAATTTTAAGATACAAATTATACAATAACTAATTCAAAGTCAGCCATACACAAAAGAAGAAACTAAATATGTTTTCAATTGCCTTCAAAGACGTCAATTGATGAAATTTTAATTTATTGCCAAAAAAATTTCCACATGGTTTGACATAATCCTTGAAAATAGTTGACAACTATTCTAATAATTTAACATCCATCGTCAATAAGTATGTAGCTTTCAATTTACCGGTCAATTCCGAATTAAACATAAACTGATTCTATTTCTTAAAGCTACATACTTGTATGTGTTCTTCAACTCTTCAAGTATAATATTCCTCCATTTTTTTTTAAATTAACATAGAAATCTAACTTTTAAGTTTACACTAATATATACATACGTAGGAATTAATTATAAGTGGTATCATGTATTAAAGGTTGCATTGTTGGAATAATTACTATCTAAAATCAACTAATAATAGATTTATATTTTAATGGTTAAAATTATACATTAATAATACAAGTAATAAAATTTTAAATATCACATGCAATAATAATTACGAGTAATAAAAAACAGAGTGTATTACTGTATAAAAATACAATACAAGAAAAATACCAGAGTATTAAAATCTTTGTGAACAAGCAAACACCCACATGAGTTGACACATTGCCCGGCATAACATATATAATAAGCAGTCCAAGCAAAATAAAATTGAGTTGGCATATAATTTAATTAAGTTGCTAAGCTAAGATTACTTATCAAATTCGTCTACCAAAGAAAATATCAACTCTTTCACAAAAATAGCAATGCATGCTACACGCAACTTATTATATAAATACAGAAAATGAGAGAAAAATCATTTTCAAAATATTTGAACAATATATATGATATATATGTGTATGTGTATATATAAACTCATATATATAATTTTTTCCAGTGTCTCCAAAGCATCAGGAAGAAAGCTTTGAAGAAGCTATATATCAACTCATTCATGGCCGACGTTGTCGGCTTGAGTTTCATATTTGGGATACTAGGTGATTTTCTTATAAACTCACTTCTTAGTTTTGGAATTTATGAAGGATAAATGATCTTTTTGTTCATGATATGTTATATTATTTAAGTTTTTTTTTTTTTTTTCAGGAAATATTATATCAGTGCTTCTTTTCCTATCTCCTGTGTAAGTTATTTTTTTTGTCTAATTATTAATTATTATGAGTACTTTTAAAATTTTATAATTGTTTGTTAATACTAATCATAAGATGATGGGTGAAATATATATATATGTATGTATATGTTCTTTACAATTGTTAGGAAATTCATGGTATTTTGTATATTTAGATACGTCTCAATATATTCTCAAATACTACATACTATAATATACTCGTACTTGCTTAAATCTTTTAATTTGTGTATATATTTTAATTTGTTCGTATGATCACCTTTTCTTTTACTAAGTTTTCAAATTTACATTAATGCACACAGGGGTAGATCAATATACTATACGGAGTAGCTTATTTATTATTGTTTCCTTGTTTATATCAAAAAAGTTCAACTTATTTCAAGCTACATTTTCACCATAAAAAAAAAAAGTCTCTAATTAGCTAGTTAGTTATTTAGTTGAAATTACAACTAAATGCTAATATACGCTTTCCACTATGATAAAAATAACATAAGATTACTGTTCTCTACACCTAATAACAACTACATTGGCAAAAGCCTCAGCTCATACCTCATCAACTCGGTCGGTTCAATATACAAATATTACCAATGGTCATGTTTTTGGTCACGTATAGAAAGTAAGAAACTTTGTATTTTTTTTTAATTTTTTTGTTATAGTACGTCAAATTCATACCATGTCAATAATTATATATAAATGACCTAAGTTTGAGTCAATATAAATATATATATATATATAATGTCGTAGACTAACTTATAAATTTATATCACTTCAAAAAATTGTTGCAAGAAGTTTGCGGTTAGATTAAGAAAACTATTTGATGAATTTGGCAAGGTGGTCTGCTACATAAACCATATTACTTCATATAATGACGACATTACTTGAAATTTTAGAAGTCGACTACGTATAATACAAATAATTAATAGCTAAACAGATGGACTAATTCAATATCATCATATTTTAATCATACTCATATTATGTAATTAAAATAATACGTGTCTATATTACTATATTATTGCTAATATTAGTAATACTTTGAGAGCATATACTTGGAGTATATGTAATCATCAAAAGCTAAAGCTAATTGTTATTATATTGCATGAATTGAATGCAGAAAGACTTTCATTCAAATAGTAAGTAAAGGATCAACAGGAGAATTCGAAAGCATCCCATATATATGCACATTTTTGGCTACATCTTTATGGACCTACTATGGACTTATTAAGCCTGGGGCTTTGCTTGTTGCCACCGTCAATGGGTTTGGAGCTGTTGTCGAGCTCGTTTTCGTAACACTATTCCTCGTCTTTGCTCCTCCAGAAATGAGGGTACGTCATACATATATAAAATTTAACTAACATATGTTACTTAACAATCAATTAAAAAACTTTCTCATTTGATATTAGTTGTCACGTTGTTATGAGACTTATCACTTATGACATGAAGTTATGAACATTGTATTATAACCCATCAACGTGACAATTAAATCTGGGTGGATTGGATAGATTTAGTGATTTTAAGATAATTATGTGATTTGACATACATGAATTATGGTTAAATTTGATGGTTAGGCAAAAACAGCCAAACTAGCCGTGATATTGGACTTGGGATTTTTAGGAGCAGTAATGTTGGTATCAAAGTATATGCTATTGGATGATGAAATGAGGATTAACATGATAGGAACTCTTGGTGCTTTTGTCAACATCCTCATGTATGGTTCTCCTCTTGCTGCCCTGGTATGTAATCACACTCTTCTTCCGTGTTAAACCTCGCTCCTATCTCTTGCTTTCATCGTCTTTTTTGTCTTTTGCTAGTTTAATTTGACCATAAAATTAAGCATGCTTGGTGTATGTGGGAGTGGAGGGGAACTCACCTTATAATCTTAAAATCAAAAATTCGAGTTTTATCACCTACATTAGCTTGGGAGTAGGAGATTTCCTTAACTTCCCACTTTACTCTCAAACATTAACCTATATAGTTGGATTGATTGACCTAAATACGAATTATATGCTAATTCATTACGAAGTATAAACTTAGGATCCCTTCTCTTTAAAAAAAAAAAAAAAGTATTTTGCACACTATGAAAAAAAAAATAAAGGTTATAATACATATTTTTTGAAAAAAAAAAAATGACAAAATAATACAAATTATATTAGAATCACTAATGTATTGAATTTTTTTTACTATTATACTTCGTAATACATATATTAGTAATATTTGAATTGAATGAGACAATTCTTCCGTCCCCTGTCCCCATATTAGCTAGCTGTTAAGTGTTAATCTAATTAGTAAAATGATTATTTATGATTAATAAATTAAACATTTTTGTAGAGAGCGGTGATGGAAACAAGAAGCGTGGAATATATGCCTTTCTTGCTATCATTGTGCTCATTTTTGAACGGAGGAGTTTGGACTATCTATGCTGTTCTTGTCAAAGATCTCTTCCTTTTGGTACGTATCTTATCATCTCTTAATCCATTTTTTTAATTATGCATCTAGTGATGTTAGTCATGTTACATGATTTAATCTCATTGGATTTTATTTGATTTGTTAAGAATTAAGATAGGATCGGATTAAGATCAATCTATTCAATGATTAAGTTTTCCCAAAATATATTAATAGATCTTACGTCACTTATGTGGTTTGATTTTATATTTGATGGTTGATATTAACTACTTTGTATGAATTATTCGTTTATGGACTACCTAAAGTATGAAAAGAGAAATAAGACAATATTCTTAGGGCTTGTTCTTATATATTGAATTGAGCTGAACTGAATTGAAGTGAAATTAAGCTGAAGAGAACAGACCCTTATAGTCTCATTTTACTTGTTGACTTTTCATTATAGATCGTTCTTAATTATATTTATTTTACGTTTACTTATAGTTGTAGCCTCATTTTCACGTTGATTATATGGTGCCCTTAAACAGGTACCAAATGCAGTTGGATTTATTCTCGGGACGATTCAATTAGTAGTCTATGCTCGTTATAGTAATCTAAACAATGATCAACAATATATTGAGCCCCTCGTTTAGTGGAAAATCAGCAAATTACTCAATTTCATATCAATCAATCATTTTTAGATTTTATATTTGTATACTTGTATATAAATTTACTCCAATGTGTAGCTTGATTCTTTGATTTCTGTCGCTAGTACATAAATGTATGTAACTTGAAATTTACAAAAAATTGTGCATAATATGATTGTCATACGGAGCATTTGTTACTCCATCTATTTGTATACTAGTACGAAATAAGGAATCATTTGAGAGTCAAGACCAAAACTTTGCTGGATAATGATGTTAATGAATAATGAAACAAATTTATAATTTTAATAACGTACTTGAAGCGGCGAAGCAACTACGTGACATTGAAAGAAGTGATGGATATATTACACGGTAAACGATAGTCACATACAGTATTCTAAAACGGATATATTCCATTAGTTTAACCGTTCCTTTTCCTTTTTTTTTTTTTAAGTTTCCTTGTTAAGGTAACTAGAGTTGTTAATTCGGGTAAACGGGTCAGGTTTGGGTCGGGTAAGAGTGGGCCGGGTCAATTCAGATTAATTCCATAATCTATGCGGGTCAGGTTTGGGTTGGGTCATGCTCGAGTCGGGTCACGTCGGGTTATACTTCTTATCAGGTTTGGGTCGGATTTAGGTCGGGTTAATAACAATCGGGTTACATTCGGGTCGGGTGAATAATAGGTCGGGTTTAATTCGGGTTTTCACGGGTTAAAACGGGTTAAGGTAATTCACAGTTTCGAGTCGGGTTTGGTTCAAGTCAATAATTTGCGGGTTAGAATCAGGTCAGGTCATTCTCGGGTTTGAGTCGGGTTCGATTCAAGTCAATAATTTGCGGATTATAATCAGGTTGGGTCATTATCAAGTCGGGTCATTCTCGGGTTCAAGTCGGGTTCGGTTCAAGTCAATAATTTGCGAGTTAAAATCAGGTTGGGTCATTTCCAAGTCGGGTCATTCTCGGATTCAAGTCGGGTTATGTTCAAGTCAATAATTTGTTGTTTACAATCAGGTCGGGTCATTTCCAAGTCAGGTCATATTCGGGTTCAACTAACTATAAATAGATAATTATCATTTTTATCAAACTAATTATTTCCTTTGACTATAATATATATGGCAATATACTAGGGAACTATAGTCTATAATTTAGGAAGATAATTATCTCCTTTGACCATACAACAAATATATACTATATTTAACTCTTAAATTTGAGGATGATGCTCCTTTCTTTTGCTGGCCTGGATTGACTTGGTCTCCCAAAACAAAATAAATGATTTGATCAACAATAATAAGGTGGTCTAAATTGCATTTAAGGTGATTTGAAATCTGGCCAGGAACAATTCGGGTTGAATTTAGGTCGGGTCAATAACAAGTCGTGTTAATTTTGAGTCGGGTTAGTAACAGACCAGGTTTAATTTTTAGGTTGGGTAAGTAATAGGTATGGTAAAATACGGGTCTGTTCAATAACAAGTCGGGTTGAATTTGGGTCAGATCAATAACAAGTCGGGTTGATTTCGGGTCAGGTTTGTTACAGGTTGTGTTAAATTCGGGTCGGGTTAGGAACGGGTCGGGTTGAATTCAGGTCAGGATAGTAACAAGTCGGGTTAAATTCGGGTTTTGACGGGTTAAAACGGGTTTGGGTAAATTTCGGTTCAACTCGGGTTCGGTGAGAGTTAATTAAATTGGTCGTTGTAAACCAGTAAATCGGTGCAAGTTGTAAACCGGTAAATTGGCCGTTTAAAAGCAAATTGAATGGTTCCATGCACCCAATTGAACACCAAAAGGGTATTAGGGACCATGGTAAATATTTCGGCAATTTTTATTTCCGGCGAAAAAAAGTCAAAAAATTCCAAAATTGAAGGCTAATATCCACACTTTTTGAGAAATTTTGGAGGTTTCAGGGCCCGGTGTCGAAAAGTCTTGAAATTCTATGGGATACATCTCAAGGTCATATAATGCCGTTTGGGACTATATATAATCATTATTTGTTGTCATAAATGTTCGTGGTAGGCTTGAATTAATGAAGTCGGTGCAAGTTGTAAATCGATAATAAATTGGTCGTTGGTTCCACCCACCCAATTGGACTCCCGGAAGGTATTAGGTACCATGGTAAACATTTCGGCAGTTTTTATTTCCGGCCGAAAAAAATCAAAAAAATCAAAATTGAAGGCTAATATCCACGCTTTTTGAGAAATTTTGGAGGTTTCGGGGCCTGTTGTAGAAATGTATTAATATTTTAGGGGATACATCTTGGGATCATATAATGCCGTTTGGAACCATATATGATCATTATATGTTATCATAAATGTTCGTAGTAGGCTTGAGTTGATGAAATCCGTTAATTAAGTTGTAAACCGGTAATTAAATTGGCCGTTTAAAGACAAATTGGATGGTTCCACCAACCCAATTGGACTCCCGGAGGGTATTAGGGATCATGGTAAATATTTCGGCAATTTTTATTTCCGGGAGAAAAAAAGTCAAAAAATTCCAAAATTGAAGATTAGTATCCACGCTTTTTAAGAAATTTTGGAGGTTTTGGGCCCGGTGTCGAAAATGATTGAAATTTTAAGGGATACATCTCGGGGTCATAAAATGCTGTTTGGAACCATATATGATCATTATTTGTTGTCATAAATGCACGTGGTAGGCTTGAGTTAATGAAATCGGTGTAAGTTGTAAACCGATAAATTGGTCGTCTAAAGGCAAATTGGTTAGTTCCACCCACCCAATGGGACTCTCGGATGGTCTTAGGGACCATGGTAAACATTTCGGCAATTTTTATTTCCTGGAGAAAAAAAAAGTCAAAAATTTCAAAATTAAAGGCTAATATTCATGCTTTTTGTGAAATTTTGGAGGATTCGGGGCCCGGTGTCGAAAAGTCTTGAAATTCTAGGAGATACATCTTGGGGTCATTTAATGTCGTTTGGAACCATATATGATCATTATTTTTTGTCATAGAATTGAGTTAATGAAATCGGTGCAAGTTATAAATCGTAAATAGGCCGTTTAAAGGCAAATTGGATGGTTCCACCCACACAATTGGATTCGCGAAGGGTATTAGGGACAATGGTAAACATTTCGGCAGTTATTGATTCCGGGCGAATAAAAGTCTAAAAATTCCAAAATTAAAGGCTAATATCCACGTTTTTTGAGAAGTTTTGGAGGTTTCGAGGCCCAGTATCGAAAAGATTTGAGATTCAGGGATTACATCTCGGGGTCATATAATGTCGTTTGGAACCATATATATATTATCACTATTTGTTGTCATAAATGTTCGTGGTAGGCTTGAGTTAATGAAATCGATGCAAGTTAATTGTTAATAGGTATATTGGTCGTTTAAAGGCAAATTGGATGGTTTTAGCCACCCAATTGGATTATCGGAGGGTGTAGACACCCATTTGTGTCTCCCCAAAACCAAACCCGGTGATGAGTACCTTTCACGTCGAATCATAATCGAATGAAGCGAAAGTGTGGAAAGTTTAGTGTTGCGGATAAGTTTTAATTTCTTTTCTCTTCTCTCTGTTTTTGAAAACTTATTTTAAGAAAACAGCCAATCCAGTTTGGTTGGTCCATGATATGGGTACAATAGTAGTGTAGTTGGATAGGGCTTGACAAGAGCTTTCCAACGATATATTATAAGCCCAATTCCGATGAATATTGAGGAAGCTATGGCTAATTTACTAAACTGGGCCCGGTTTTGAGCTTTATATGCGGCCCAATGATCTTGGGGAGGGCCTAATATGATTTATCATTCCTAATTCAATGAGGAATGGTTTTAGTCATCTAGATTCTTCTAGAATGTTCTTTTCATTCCTAATTCAATTAGCATTCATAAATTGACTTTTGTTGACTTTTCAGAGTTTTAATTAAAATCAAAAGCATTTTCGAGGAAAAGATACGATTTTATCCTCCAGTACGGCAAACTTATCTGATTTTCGAAAACGCGTCAAAAACAGGCCTAGCGCCTGTCTCCAGGCATTGGTGCATGGAACCAGGCTTGGCGCCTGGTGCTAGCCATTGGCGCATAGCGCCAATTAGCTAGTGTTGGCGCCAGCTCTGTTTTACATGCGCCAAGTGCTTTGTTTTGTTAATTTTATCTTTTTGGCTGATTTTCTCCATAAATAACGTATTAAAAACTCCGTTTTCATTCATCAATAACCAGCTTTTCAATTATATTCACCTACAACCAATTCTCATCAACAGTCAGTTTTAATTAATATTCACCTACAATCAGTTTTCATTCGCTAATTCTCATCAAGATTTCCTTAATCATTCATTCATCCATCTCTCTCTTTTCAAAACTTGCTTTTACATACAAAATTCCGCATTCGCAAGATTTAGAAACACCTAGCCATATTCGAAGTTGCCTTCGCCCTAGACGTGAAAGGTTTAATTTCTGAGGGTGTGGTCTCAAATCTCTATTTCAATTATTTAATTTAATTGTTTTGTTTTATTATTTTCCTTGAAGTTACTAACGTGTGTATTTTGTTATTAGAAAGAGGTACGAGGCATCAAAGTAAGTGCTTTTAATGGTTTTAATTGATGTTATGATGTAGAGATCATGTTTGTATTGTTATTATGATATTCCTAGTATCATGTCTAGGGTAATATCAAATATATTAAATATGATTGTTACGATGCTTCCTATGTTCTTCCTAATATTTATGATTGTTAGTATCATGTTAGGGCTAAAGATTTGATTTTTATTGCTTAGTGACATGCTAGGGTTTGTTATTAATCTTGTTGGTATCATGCCTAGGATCTTGCTATTATTATGCTTTAATATTAACATGAACATGATTATGATTATAATTGTTATAATTTATGATGATTATGAATATTATTATTATTACTTTTATTTTGATGATGATTATTATTATTGTTATAATTATTATTCACGATATTGATTATTATTATTATGTTGCTTGATATTTATTATTTATTGCTTGATCACACTTTTTATGCATGTTTAAAGGGAATTGGTACTTCTAATCACGTTTAATAAGATAATTAATAATCTTGTTTAGGGTTAATTTGATTATAATTTCAAGTGATCGCCAATAATAGTTTATTTGTGAATTATATTCAACCAACATAGATTAAACGGGTTTAGGGTTAATCCTATTGATTGTATGTTAATCAAAAAGCGCGCATGAATACGATCAGAATAAAGTAGAGGCCTATTATTAGGGCAGGTTCAATCTCTTTTAGGTTGGATTTGTACCTTCATCCCCGAACCCTTATTTGGTTCTAG